CTTTGTATGGGAATTTTTTGTTCTCTTTGCCTTGGGAAAAGTGCTTAGCGTGCAGCGTGAGAGCAAAAAATATGTACGAAACGGGAGCCAATCTTGTAAATAAGCTAACCAATATTGTCAATGAGTATCTTTTCAAATGATCACTTATATAATCAGTTAACCAATTATCAAATAAAGTTTACTTTCGCGTTCATTCGCCTATTTTGAAAGGTTTACAAAAAATTCGTCAGTACTTCTTCGAAGTTTATTTCGCTTCCATTACTACATAACTAATAATATTTCTCTATAAATTTGCTGTAATTTAAACAAGTTAGCTTGAACACTCTTGAAGACTCTAATTACATTCATATCAAGAATATTTACTAATGACTGCGGAGACTTATTATTTATTACTTGCAGCGTTCGATATTATGTGACAAAATTAGAAAACTCCCGGGTGTAATATATTATCAAGGGTGTAATATATTAATCGTTCGTTCTATACCCGTAGAAAGGTATTATATTTGAGCCACATAAGGCATAGCTATTTTTACATTGGCCATTAGAACGAGGAGCGTCGTTGATATCTCTTTGCGTGGGCCACTTCATCAGTGCCACAAGCAGCGCCCAAGAAACTCTTCCAAATGAGCTCAATAAAGGACGCAGTTATAACAATAAAATTTGTGAACTTCCTTCCGGTAAGCGGAACTGCACCAGTCACAGCCACAGGCAAAAGGGATATTGCTTGGCAGACAATGTGTAGAAATCTAAATTGCAAAATATGAAACACACAGTTCACACACACACACACACCCACACACACATGTATATTCTATAAATTGTGGCTGTGGGAACCCAGGACGAGGCTGTTCCCAATTTGATGTGGGCCCACCCTCGCACCGATAGCATCGTTTGGTTATCGTTTGCTGCTGAGAAAATCTTGTTTGCTGTGGCAAAGATTTCAACGTTCTCCTTCTTAAATTGGTTTCTTTTTTATTCTTTCTTTGCTCTCATTGTGTGAGCTGCAACAATATTTGTATACAGAAACAGGTTAACCGGTATTTAGACTTAGGATCAGTCAGGATTAGAGACAGCACATCAGCAGTGCTCAAGTGGGTGGTCGTTAAAGATGCCTACAAAATGTTCACTTACAAAAAATGTAGCTCCATAAAATTGGAGTAGTACACGAAAACCCCATTCAGCTCTCGCATAACTCTGTTGAAGTGATTCCCATTTCAACATAGGCAATTACATAAAAAGGACGCAGGATACAACAAGGACGTGTTGCGCCTACGGCAATGGTAATTTGATGCGTGCACACTTCTGGAGCGGGACTAAGTGCTCGACGACAGGTAGTCCTGGCAGTTCAGAGTCCACATTAGTATCTCTGTTTTCCTGTGAGCTCCTTTGCTCGGTCGGCGCAACAAATCGCAATGCGCAAACAAACTTCTCATGATCGATCGATGCGTTCTAATTTGCCTTTTGAGGGGCATCCTGTGGCGTTGGCGGCATTGCTTCTAAGGAGCGTTAATTGGATTTACGGCTACATTTGAGCGGTACGAATCAAAGAACTGGTCAGCAGTCTCTCGATTTGAGTAAAATCACACGCATAATCACACACACACAGACATCTAAAGATACACCTGTGTGAAAGGACCGCACACAGTAAGCAGTAAGGACATGCAAGTGGGCATCTCCAGGCGTTCCACTCACTGACCTTTCCCATTCCCATACCCATTCCTATTCCCTATTGTTATTCGCATTTCCTTTTAATATTAATTTGAAGTGTCCCGCACTTCATGCAACTGTTGCGCATCGCTTCCTTCAGCTATTGCGGTCCTGCGCCCTGCTTCCTTCCTGCCCACAAGGTTGTTTGTCCTGCACTTTTGCACTTCCTGTGGGTCAGCCAAAACATTCTATTGTTGATGATAATTGTTCTGACAGCAGCGGAAGTGGATTTGAGGCGATTGTATTTGATGTTTTGAAAGGTGTATCAAGAAACTGAGCTTTCCAAGCAACCACTGTTTGTGGTTAAACTAATGGAAGGGTAATAGAAACTATATATAAGCTTGGAAAGCCGGAGAGCATCGGTTCAGAACTCAATGTTATATAGCTATCAAGGAACTTATCAACTAACGAGATTTGTTAAAATACCTTTCAACACCGAATTACTATATTATATAGCTTTACAATCTATCCTTTCCTGGAATATTTTCATTTTAAATTAAATAACAGAATATTAGCAGTGTTTCATACCTATTACCTGTTTAGTATTTGAAAAGCAAGCAGTGCATTAAGTAGTGCATCATGCAGTTAAAACAAGTAGTTCATTATTATTAGATTTGAGAACAGTAATACGAAAAGCAGTTCAGAATTCAGTAGCGGAGTTTCACACCTACGAACTGCTTTCTAATTTTAATTTGCAAGTAGCGCATTAAGCAGTTCACAATGCAGTAGACAAAATGCATTTTAGCAGAGTTTCACAACTACTCGCATTTCAGTCGCAGTGTTGCTGATTGGAATGTTGTTCAAAAATAGCATTAACTCTATGAAATCCTTACAGGATGGATTTGGATTTTTACTGTCTTAAGGGTACAATTTAACAGTTTGCCATCCACCATTAGATGTTCACAAGAATCCATTATGATCTGATCTGTCCGTTGTGATGTCCTGCACAGCTCAGGAGTTGGGGCTTGGTATTTTCTGGGCATTGCAGAAATCACACTAATATTATTCTTATAAATGTTTGTTATGAATTAGAAAACTAAAATAGATACATATAATAGATGCATTGAAAGAAATATTTTGAATAGATGTAGATGAGGCTCTCTTCTCGTCACCTCCTTGACAACCTATGTGTCATCAAGTCCAGTTGTAAGCCCCACAACTGTCGCTTTATATGTTGGGCGCCCAAGCCTTTATAATATTTCTCATTTGCAGTGGCTGCTGGACTTTGAATTCGTTTTAATTCGTTTTTATTTCTTTTTAATTTTTATTACATTTTTGTATATTAGCTTTGACTTTGCTTTAGTTGTATCCACTTTGAATTATTTGCTGTTTGTTTTCCGTGCTCGCGCATACAGTCAGAAAAAAAAACGTATGCAAAAAAATACAAATAAAACAAGAGCCACCAAGTTGCCTTCATTTTTTGTTCGTTATTGTTCTTTTGGCCCGGCTTATGTACGGGTCTGGGGTTCTGACTCTCACTATGACTCTGACTCGGACGTTTTGTAGTTATTGTCCAACGTTGACTGTTTACGCCAAATGTGCGCTGCGGAGTAGGAAATTAAAAATGGCGAAATAAAGTTAAATTTTTTATGGCTTGCGCAAATAAGTCACACGACCGGCCCAGAAGTGTAGAACAGAGCAGTGCCAGCCAGCATGTAGGATCCACCATGGCCATCTACTCCCTCTCCCAGGTATTCCTTGTTAAGCAAGAAAATAATATTAGCATTAAGCGTTTGTCTGCGCGCCTCGCGACTGCCACGGCGCCATCCGTCGTCCTCTGGCTTTTTATTTATTTTACAAAATGGGCGACAAACTTTCCTTTTTTTTTTTTTTAGCCAAATTCACCACCTTAACCACCCCAACTGCCATTTTGTAGTTTTTTTTATTTAATGCCACATGTGTGGCGCCGCCAGAAGCAGAAACAGAAACAGGAACAGCAGCAGCAGCAGCGATAGCAGTTGCTGGATGAGTATGGAGTACATCCAATTAAGCAGCGCTTGAAAACGCTCTAAAAAATGAAGTGGTCTAAGAGAGTTGGGCATGTAGCTTGCTTATGAGCGCGAAGGAGAAGGGTGATGCTAAGAGGCTCCTCTTAAAGCTGGCAGATAAAGCTCAGATGGGTGTCAAAACGCAAAACACAAAATGTGAGTCATTTGAGTATTTACGAGTGTTTGTTGGGGTAACCATATTTCGTTCACTCATCTTTCGTAGATATTGGAATTCGCTTCAGCATTTCTCTGGGCTTCTCAAGTCCTGCTCTACGCTTACCATTTAAATAAAGAACGATGTTACGGGCTTTATAAAATATTTCAGTTTCTTTTCAGCATATCTTGAATTAAGCTTTGCTGCCTCGCATTCATACATTAAGCTAATTAAAATTAAACTAATGTTTTAAAGATTTAAGCCATCTCTAACAACTTCACACAAATACCTAAATACCAAAAGCTCATAAATCGTTTTCTTAAACTGGACTCTAAACTCCACTCAATTTAATCCCTTTGTCAAAGACAATTTGATTTGCCATCTCAGCTTTCAAATTAGCAGCTTTGTTTAATATAATTTCTATTTGGCTTATTTGTTATAAAACCTTTTTCTTTTAGTTGTGCTATTAATTGGATTATTATATTTATCTCTATCGTATGGAGTACACAGTATAAATAATAAAGAACGTTTATCATGGGAAATCCAATTATCCCATTATTAGTATCTATTTGAGGTAGCACATGCTACTTTGATTCCGCTCGTGCCACACCGTTGCCTTGCTGCTTGCGTTTTTTCAAATGACCCTTACCTACCCCAAACTGGTGTCTGTCTTAGTGGCACTACCTGTTCGTGCCTGTTCCACATTTCCGAAACTGGTTTGCGCCCAAAACAACAAAAGACAAAAACTGTAACAAAAAGCGAAAAACATGTTGATACTTGCACTTTCTTTCAATTAGCTGCCAAGTTTGTTTCTTTCAACACGGGTTTTATTTTTGGTGTTGCTTTCGTTCGCTGCTGGCTTTTAATACCCTAATTACTCGCTATTTATGGCCAAATCGCTGGTTGGGGGCGTGGGTGTTAGATTTGAGATTTGTGAAGCTTCCCATTATGGAGCGGCTCGCGTGACTCTCGACTGTCAGCTATCAACGGCGAGCGGCCAGCGGCCAGCGGCATTTTTCGATGAAAGGCGCCATTATTTTGGTGGGCTGACTATATTATGATATTTGGTAACAGGTATTCGGACTCTTGAATTCTTAAGTCGCTGTCTTTGCTGCCTCGCATTCAGTTTCTCACTGATCGTTGGCAAGATCATGACGTGGAATTTATTTCAACTGTTTCTACTATTGTTGCTGCGGCAGCTCCTTGCTACTGTGGCACTCTATGAGCAGTGCAACCATCAGCTGGAACTGCAGGCGGGACAGAAAATCTACATCAATTCACCCTACTATCCTGGCCAGTATCCAGCGGGCAGCTCCTGTCGCTATGCTCTCCAAGCGCCCAAGGATCACGTGTTAAGATTTAAGTGTGATCTGCAGCTGTTCACGGTGAGCTTGTGAGAATTCTTGTGACTGAGTGGATATATTGACCTGCAGCAGGCAAACAAAGATTTATAGATAAAGGATGAAGTATTTCAATAGTGTTTGAATATTTTTGTTTCAAAGTGTGTCAAAGTTTAAACAAATTATAATGAATAACATACTAAATGTGAAAGAAATACAAACTGCAGACGCAAATCTCAACAGCAGCCAATCTCCATGCTAGGAAATTAACAGCAAATAACAACATACAAAACAGGGTATTGTTTTTCCCATCAACAATTGTTTTACTATTGTTTTTTCTTTTCATTGCCCCCACACACATAGCTGGTTAAGGACACGCGCTGCCGCGCGGAGGTGTTTCACTTCAATGCCGAAGGCGACGAGCTGTTGACAAGTTCCGAATACTTTTGTGGCGCTGGCAAGTTCGAGCGCCAAAGTTTTCTTAATCGTGCCGTGATTTCCTACATATCGCAGCGGAAGGAGGCGGCAGCAACTGGTACAGTTCCAGCAGCACTGGTGCTCAAGTTGAAGGATAAGCTGCCAACGCGGATCAAAAACACCAACATTACCAGCAGCACTACAACAACAACAACCACAACAACAACGACTACAAAGGCACCCCCAGTTAAGGAGTACGAAGAAGATGAGAAGGAAGCGGGCCAGCAGAATGGGGACGATGATGATGATGATGATGATAACTTTTCAAACGAGGTGCTGCACGTGCTACAGGATGTGGGCGTGAGCGATGCATTGGCTTATGTCGCCTCGCTGCTCTACGATGATGGGTCCAACAATGGTCGTCGAATTGGCATCACGCCCGCACCAGCCACTCCCCAGTTGGACAACTTGGCCCAGCTGCCAAGACGCAGCACTGCAAAGACTTCCGCAAAACGTGGCCAGCGAATTGTGTCCATTTATCCATTGGGCGTGCCAGGTGGTGGTCGCTTCTCCTGCCTCGTTGAGGCTGTCGCACCCAATTGCAACTGTGGCTGGAGCCTCGTCCAGCGCATTGCAAGTCCAACAAACGATGAGGCATCGCTGCATGAGTTTCCCTCCATGGCTGGTGTGCTGACCAAGAGACAGGGCAAAGTGTTCTGCGGTGCTGCGATCAGTAAGTGATTAGGAAGGCAGGAAAGGTTCTGAAGGGAGTTTCTACTTGCCTTCCAAGACTAATCTTTTATGTTGCATAATCGAAATGGTTTTCCTCTCTCGCAGTTCATCATCATTATTTGCTCTCCGCCGCACACTGTTTTTTCAGTCCAGAGACAAATCACGCCTCGCTGCTGAGGATTGTGGTTGGGGAGCATGATCTGTCTAGTGCCTACGAGACATTGTTCACCCGTCGCTACGATCTGGATGCATTGATACTCCACGAGCAGTTCAGCCAGACGAATGGCCAGTTGCGCAATGATATCGCCCTGTTGCGTACCCATGCTCCCATTCTGTTCAATCGGAGGGTTGGACCCGCCTGTCTGCCCCTGCAGCCAACGGCTAGTGGCAAGAAGCTGCCACTGGTGGGTCAACAGCTGCTGGCTGCCGGTTGGGGCACCACCTCCTATGGTGGACCGCAGACACATCGCCTGTTAAAGACAACGCTGGATGTGATCAGCTCGGTGCAGTGTCGCAGCACTCTTACCCAAGGATCCGTCCCCGCTCACAGCTTTTGCACCTACACGCCAGGCCGAGATACGTGTCAATATGACTCTGGCGGTGCGCTGTATGACCGTAGTAATGGCCACCTCATGGCCGTAGGCATTGTGAGCTACGGTTATGCTTGCGCCACCCAACAGCCATCGGTGAACACCAGAGTCGCCTCGTTCATCAAATGGATTAGGTCTAAGACGCCGGAGGTGGCATACTGTCTAAAGCATATATGAAATAATAAAGCAAACTAAGGCACAAGAATGATCCATTATGTCTGGTACAACTACTGCTAGTATCAACTATACTATCAACTATTAGACAAGCCTCTGCGATCTCTCAATTTACACAAATGACAGTCAAAGCAGCCCTTGACTGAAGCATACCTCTGGGCATCTTTAAAGTATCTTTATGCGAGCAAAAGAGAAAAAAAAACACCTGCCACTTGGTGTAAAGTGGGTGTCAAGTTTGTCGCTTTGCTTGAACGCTTTATCAACAGCTACATCAGCCATCATTCAGTCATCAATCATGCATGGCAATCTTAACGCCTCGCTGGCATTCTATAACCCCGACGCAGATTGCAATTAAGCGCAAATGTCAACTAATTAACCCCAATGGCTGCAGGGCACACAGCCAACGCCCAACGCCCAACGCCCCAACTTGAACCACCAATTACCATGCCCCGATGTATTTTCAATGAAACTGCTGCAATTCAGCAATGGTTTTCTCTTTGGCGCTGATTTGTTTTGCCTTTTTTGCCGGATGCTGTCTGTTGTCGTCTTCTTTTCAAATAAATAATTAAACGTTTGCCATAACATATGAAGCATGCTTTTAGGCTTAAAGGCAATACAAATCGTCTGACAGTCGCTCTCTATGCGGTCGCTGCTATATTTGTTTAAGCCCCTGTCCAGAAAAGTAGTCTCTTCTTTCTGTTTTTAAGTATGCTCTTGCAGAGGGTATAATTAATTAATACGATATATGTAACGCAATAATGGACGGATACTAGCAATATGACATCAATTACTATAACTTAAATACTTGAATTAATTTTTGAATTAACTGGAATGTCGTCTGTAATTGGCTTAATAAATATTTCGATTATTAAATCAATCAATTCAATTGGTATATTTAGAGGGTATTTGGTATGCCGCATCTTTCATAGATGTTAGATGTTCCCCTAGTTGTTTGTGCTTTATATTTTTTCTTTTCGCATATACATATGTATTTGTCTAACTGCAATGCACTTTTTCAATACCCAGCTGCCCGTCTGTCTCGCTGTCTGTCTATCTGTCTGTCTAACTAAGCGGCCTGTATTTGTTGCTTTTGCCTGCATTTGGGCGCTGCTGCAATGCCAGAGTATTGGCTGCTCTTCTTTTTCTTCGTGTTCGCCTGTTCGTGGGTATTTGTATATATGATTGTGTTATTTGGTATGAGGCAGATGGCTGAGCCTCCTCTGGCTTGTGAGGCTCTTCTATTTGGCACTCTGTTGTTCAATTTACGTAAAACGCGGCAACAACGTCAACTGCAGTCGGCGGCATCAAGTGTTGCGTGGTGCCTGCCACTAGTGGGCGGTGGGTGGTGAACGTTGGGCGTGGCACAAGGCATACAAATCGCTGGCATGGACTGGGGCACTAATTGAAAAGCAGCAGCCACTAACAGTAAAAAACAGCAGCAGCAGCAGCAGCAGCAGCTCGTGTCTGTGTCTGCTCTGGGGAAATGCAGTTTTTTAACCAAAGTTCAGCTACAGTACACAGTGCCTATGATGATCAAATAGTTAATCAAAAGTACTGAACTCTCACAGATGCTCTATCTATGCTACAATATGGCAATGTATATAAATTAGTTGTAGTAGTAGTAGTGATGCAAGAATTTTCCTGAAGACATGTGCACTTAAAATAGTGAATTTTCTTCTTGAGGATTCTTCCTCATTGATTATAGATTGGTTTAGATAGGTGACCTCTTAATTCACAGTGTCCTGTCAAGCGGTAAGTATTTTGTTGTGTTTGCATTTTCCATTCGATTTTCGCTGTTAGGCCCAATTCACTGTATGAAGAAAGCGCATTCAGTGAAAATTTTGTTTTTTATGTTTTCACATTTGGTTCGCATACTTTTGTGCAGCATTTGATTACAAAATGGCGTCGAGGGGGTGGGAGTGTCTCTGCCACTGGCGTTGCTGGCGTAATATGCGCCTAAACATTGGCATTTAGTTTTCGTTTTGGTGCAACGCAGCCGCCTCGCCAAAACGTATGCAATGCGAAACGCAACTGAAAAATGCGGCAAGCGGCAACCGGCAACCGCCTCGACTTTGACTATTCATTAGCGTGTGTGCCAAACTCTAACAAGCTCAAAAAGCAATTTGCGAGCGGCAGCTAAAAATTGGTAAAAATATCGACATGCCGGCTCATGGAATTGACGTTTCGGCCGGGGCTTAGTGGGTGGAGCCAATGCGGCCCATTACATAAAACCACGCGTCGCACAAAAGCCGCCAAATCGTTGTTGCACAAAACACAACGAACTACAAAATGGCTGCCACATAAACATATAAGTGCAAATCGTTGTTCTTCCACAAATCTCTTTGACCTCAATACAATGCGATATATATTCCAACATACATGTTGCAATAGTAATGCTTCACAATAACTCGCCGAAATTTTTTGGCGAATGTGATCAGATTTAGTTACTCGGAAGGCCCATTTTTTTTTTGTTGACTGTCGATTATTTGGCTTTTTCATTTTTATCGGTAACATTGTGTGGTAAGAAATTAACGTCGCTTTTTTTTTTTTTATCTATATGGTACGCCAATTAGATCCGTGCGCTTCAATTAAAATATGAACAAAAATGCGAGTTTCACATTTTATTTCACGTTGAAGCTTGACTGACAGCAAATCAGAATTACACACTTTCCAAGAAAAAAGACTTTTACTTGCTTTGTTTGAATATGATGACTCTTAGTCCACAATCCCACTTTGGTAATATTAAAGTGCATTTTGGACTAAAACTCATCCGATTACGCTTGCATTTATCGATTAAAATACGAAGCTGCCATAGATCATCTTGCGTCTGAATTGGGACCAGCGATTTTTTGCATTTATAGATTTGTATTCGTCATTCAATGAATGCTTTATCCATCTGGGTGGAATTCTATCAATATTTTTATACTTGTTCTGGCTTCCGTTTAAGTTGATTGATGTGGTACTTAGATTATTCCATCTGGGAAATAGCCTGTACGTACGATGTGTCCAATATAATGTTGCAGCACATAGAATTGTTGAGTTGCACTTATGCCGCGTCAGAAATGACATTTTTTAATTTAGAATTTTACTGTTGGCGCCTAATGGTCGATATTTGCAAACGGAATCAAATAAATATTTTAAACTATTCAATTGTTTTTTTGTTTTTTTTTTTTTTAGATTCAGTTTTACGTATTTTTCATGACAAGCTACATTTGCCAAATTTACAATTTACTTGATTTATTTTGAGTGGAATATATATTCTGTTATATTGGTATATACGTGATTTTATTGGACTTCTCTTGGCTCCTTTCAACAGATCTTGTATTATATATTTTAACCTGAATTTAGTAACTTTTTGATAATAAAGTCAATATTTTATATACCAGCATTTGTCGTCTATTTGCTTTATTATCTTTGTAGGGCTCTTACCCCGTTTTTGTGCTACTTAACACGCAAGTTTGCTCTTCAGAAACTAGCGACATACTTTGTCAGATTTTCAAAGATTTTCACGTCCTTTTTGCGCATAATGGAGATATGGCAAAAGTGGCTAGAGAAAGGGCCGAATACAAATAAGAGTGCACTCAAGTAATACGCTTCATAATTTGTATTGTCAAGTCTTTTGGGGTTTGAGCTCTTGGCGTCGTTGTTGGCCCACTCGACAACAAAAGCTGCAAAGCGCTTGCCATAGAAAATACATAAAAAATAAAAAAAAAACCAACACAATAAAGCAACAAACCAAAAGTGGAATGGAAAAGGCATAAAATGAAGTGCAGGCTGGCTGGCTGGGTGAAGGAGAGAGTGCAACAAAGCAGGGCAGCATTTTTTACAAAGCAGCATAAATTTTATAATGTACAAAAAATCAATGGGGGCACAAAAAAAAAAGCAACGTCAGTGTAAAAGGATTACGTGGAGAGGATCGAGGGTCGAGGGTCCTGTGCTAGGACAGACCACTTCTTATGCAAAGCACTGGCCCACTGGCACAGCATCCACTGACTGATGTCCCTCTTGCCCCTTGTCCCTTGCCCCGCCGCTTCCCCTTCCCTCATTGCCAAGGCACGCAATTAAGTTGCGCTGCAAATTCTGATTTCATTTCTTTTTGAGCTCATTGTTGTTGTCGTTGTTAAGTTGTTGCCATTTCTAGTGTTTTGCGAGAGTTTATTTTAGTACATTTATATATATACATGTATATTTTTTTTATTATTTATACATATTTAACTTGAAACTCATTGCATTTGGCACTTGTTGGCGTAATTAGCGCTTTGATGTGTCCAGCGTTAAATTGGGCTAAGTGCTTGAGACAGGGGGAGTATTTGGAACAAAGTTCATATAATTGCTTTCATTTATTTTGAGCAGTTGCATAAAAGCTTCACCATTCCTGTTGCGACAATAATAATTATATATTAACAGATCTGTAGAATTTCCATTTGGCAAATTTTTCTATATCTGATTATGAATATAGGATATACCTATTACTTGCAGCTCGTTCGAACAGAGCTAAAATCCTAACTCGCCGTAAATCATGCGATGACGAAATTCTCCCCAACTATTGCGATGAGTTCGATATGTGGAGTACGGAGCAATCACCTTCTTTGAGAGCACTGTTTCTCGATGAACGGGTCGGCGGACATATACGCGATGAAGCAACTCTGCATCTGCTTGACGCTGTTTTTCATACTCATCATCGATGTTATCTTGCCCGCCAAAGATGACATCACGCAACGCACGCACCTCCTGTTCCGTATCATTGACATTCTCCTGATTAGAGTCGTCCTGTTTTGAAGACGTTAACATTTCGCTTGAAACTTGTTTGGCTGGTCGTTTCCTTGATGTTTTATCCATAAACCTGCGCTTGATGCACGCACTTCTGTGCGACAGAATGTTGTTCCGACGAATGGGGTAACCAGCTATGCCATGTCGGCGATAGTTATTCCAGTTACGGCTCTGACGCAGTAATTGAACAGCTGCGAAGTTCTCTTCGCGTCGAGGCCATGCACGCATCACCCTACTCAAATTGAGTTCATCATAAGCTTTCCTCATCAGTTTCCTCTCACTGTAATGGCGTAATGTCTGCGTAAGGCGTTGCACGGCTGAGACGCTCTTCGACGGCATATTTTTTATTTTTTTTTGGTCTCAGAGTAATACAATTTACCGGAAATTTGGAATGCTACAATACTAATGCTTAAAATTTTATTTTATTTTTCGAAAATATATAATTTTGCCCGATAACGTGAGACGCGATACAGTGAAATGAAATTTAGTCAGTATACTTGAATATTTTGGTAATGACAGTATAAGAAATGACTGCTTCAATATATATCAACACAATTTCAAACACATAAAGTACACAGCAATACAAACATTTTTGTGCTATTATTTATTTATCTGGTTATTTGTGTATTTATTGCTGGCAATATTCAATTAAGAATCTACTTGAGGTGGACAGGGGCGTAAGCTGAGAGGGGCATTGTTCCCCTCTCCATCTCAACTTTTTATAGGCGCATTTAGATCAAATCGGTCTCCGCCATAACGAAATTCTTCTGTACCCCTTACGAAAAGATGACTACGCCCCTGTGTCTGTATAAAGTAAAATATACACAAAAAACAATTTTCATCGTCATATGAACATTTATTAATTTTGCAGCAGGCGAGCGCAGAGGTTGGTAGGTAAAAGGGGGTCGGGGTATGTGAAGGATTTGTCTTGATGCCTTGGAGGCCTATGCAAAATTTAACGCAATTTGGAGATAACAAAAAGCCGACAACAAAACCGTCACAAAGGAATTGAGTTAGCTCTCAATTACAACAACAATTATGAGTTGCATTTTACAATAAATGCAAATACAAAAGCAAAAACTAAGAAATCAACGAATGCGGAATATCCTTAATATGTTATACTGAAAGTGAACATTTCTGTCACTTAAGATATTTTTTATTATTTATTATTTACAAATTGTTAGTGTGCTTATATTTATTGTTGTTAAAATTCTGTATTATATTTAACAGAAAGCTTTAGCTTTGTGAGTAATATCTCTCCAAGCAAGATTAGGTAATCTAATAATATATATCATTGTTATTTTAATTTTATTAGCTTCAAAAAAAATCAGAATTATTCATGAAACCAAAGTACTTATCTAGGGTAAGAGTAAATTTTATTGTACGAACTATGCCTTGAGCTGTAAGCTGGCTGCATGGCCAGAAGGGTTTGTGGGGTGCAATCTTATGCATTGTTTAAATGTAGGCAAAACATGTCACAGCATTTTAATTTAAATGCAAATTAAGGCTATTGTCAACACTCGAAGACAGTCAAACTGTGGCGCAAGAAGAATAAGAAGAAGAATCAACAGCAAAACTAGAATAACAACAACAACAACATCAGCTTGTGAAGGTGCTGGAGGGGTTAATACCATGAGAGTTGTCTAGCAATTGTCGACCATCTGGCATCTAGCATAGGCCAACAATCAATGAGCTTACCGCACACACATTCCCACCCTTAACGCACACAAGCCGAGCCGCCCAGGTTTCGCTGCAGCCAGGTAACATATGACGAGACACGAGTGTTGACCCCAAAACCGAAACGCTGTCCACAGGCTCGTCCAAAGCTGATCACGCCCAGTAGAAACATGCGAGAGCGCTGACGCTGGATGACTGGACCACCCGAATCGTACTGGCAGGAGTCCTGGCCCAGGCCCAGATGATCGTAGGTGCACAGCTGACTTGAGGCAATGCTTGTATTGTAGAGCGCACTGCACCTTGCACTCTGAAGGGTCATCAGTGTGGCCTTTTGCAGAGTATTCGATTTGGCTGCTCCAAAGCCCAAAGTGCCCCAGCCAGCAATTTCAACAACATCAAAGTCTTCGCCACTAAATTAAATAAAAAAAGGAAGACAAAGTAAATATAAGATACGACTTTACATATTTAACTTTTCTTTTAGGTATTATAAAGATACTCTTAAAGATCGTTGGAATATTTAATTTCTTACTTGCGGAAATTACTGAATATTTTTCATATTCCATCATATCTCTTCATAGAGTTAAAATGTAGGAATACGATAAGAAGCTTTAGTTCAGAAAAGGTTCTTTGAATAGATAAACTCAGTAGATAAGAGCATTTTAGCAAGTACTTCTTGACGGATAGATTAAGAACTTAACGCCAGGTATCTGTATATATTGTTATAAACAAATCACAAGTGGGTAAATTACAAGACTAAGACTTGCTGTATTTGAACTGGGTTTAGAATTACAGTGACTTACAGTGGTGTTTGTCGAAAAGGCAGGCAAATGGGCGCCACACCCCTGGAGAACTCCATGGATGCCACAGTTCGCAACAGGGAAATATCATTCAAATTTCTTTCGCTGTTATAAGCTGGATGATTAATAATGCTTTGTATGGCATATTGGCGAGCAAAAATCGATTCGCTGGCTGAGTGATGAAAAACGTAGAGAGGATAATTGATAAGCTAAGGAAAGTAGTTAAGAAATATTGGACTTACAACTGCTAAGATCATGATCCCCAACCAGGGCTAGTAGGCGACTGGCTACCCGCTGGAGTGTGCAATGTGCGGCGGTGACAATGTAGCGATCACTGACAATGCTGCCACCACAGAATATGGGCAGATTGGAGCCAGCATCGCGAATACCCACCATGGAAGGAAACTCGTGTTTAGCTGCCTCCCTTCCGTTAGCGATGCGCATCGGTTGCGACCAGCCGCAGTCGCAGGCAACACGACGTGCCACCGCCTGGCAACTGAGTCTAGCACTCTGCTGCGTTGTGGTACTGCTCGACTGATATCCCACGGATATCGACTGAAAGTTGGAGGTGCGCGTGACTTGACCCCTGCGACAGAAGCGCTCGGCATTACGGAACTCTATATCACCATCTCGTGAGATGAACAAAAACTTGGACTGGCACACATCGGGTGACTGAAAGCAGATCACATTTAGAGTAAGTCTAAAGAATGTAATAACTAATTTTGAGAGAATGCATTTAAAATTGTTTGATTGCTCACCACTTCGAAGCGACAAGTCAGTTGTATAACATGATTAACAGGTGCCCTCAGCAGGTAACGACAATTGCTGCCGGGTGGCACTGTTCCCGGATAATTGGGGCTGGTTATATTGAATCGTTGATTCGTCCGCAGATTGTATTCCCGGCTGCAACGTTGAGCTCGAGCAAGGCTAATTAGCAGGTGTAAGACCAGCACTCGTAGCAACATTGTCATCCTCAATTGCAACACAACTGCGACTGCAAGCTGTAACTCAAGCATTGCCAGTTCTTATAAGAGATTTGGCAACGGCCTAAAATAAATACATTTTATATAAACATACATACATATATAGTATGACTGCGTTGACGAAAGTAGATTACCAAGTCAATGCCGTGTGAGGTAATCGACTATTGACTTTTGAGGCTGTAGGATTTGTGACTGCTGCAAACAACTCAGAAGCCATTCGTCGTGCAATTTGTGTGTAATGTTAAATATTAAATAAATAAAAAAATAAGGAAATGAATCAAACAAAGATTCTCCTCATCAGCAATTGAAAGCCACGAGAGCTAAAAATACTTTAAGTAAAATATAAAAGAAGAATAAATGAGATTGAGGCTGAAGTGTTCAAATACGGCAAGAGGGTCACGTTCAAATGTGAAAAATTAATTTATTTTTGATTACATAATTCCATTTTAAAGAAAATTCAACAAATTATAGTTTTTACATGGATACTTGACAGTTAGCATAGCCGATATTCTGACGTATCCAGTTGAGATATGATGTGACGCGCGTATTGACTCCCATGGAATAAGCCTTGGAGGCGCAAGTATTTCCGAAACTGATGACACCCAAAAGGAATTGCCTGGCGGCGCGCTTGATGACCGGACCCCCTGAATCGTATTGGCAGGAATCTTGTTTTAGGCCCGCATAGTCGTAGGTGCACACGTGGTTCGCATTGATTGTGGCCTGGCCCTGATAGTCCGTCTGGCAATCTCCATTGTTTGCCACCATCAACGAAACCTTCCGTAGCGCGGCGGAAGCGGGACCAGCAAAATAAATTGTGCCCCAGCCAATTACATCAACGAGATCATACTCAAAGCTGCTTGTCCTGCATAGAGTATAGAGCAAATAAGATCAGCTTCCCAAGCATAAGACTCGATTCTCAACTTACGTTCCCACGGGAGGCAGACAAATGGGACCAACGCCACGTGTCCATTTGATTCTGGTTGCTGTGATGAGAATTGCGATATCGTTTATCAAATTGGGATTAGTCTGGTATTGCTGGTGGATCAGAACCTGCTGTATGGCATACTGTGCATAATATATGGAACTGCTGGCTGTAAATATATTGCATGTAAAACACTTGTTCATCATTCAAACAGTTCATCAGTTAACAATGCGAATGACTTACGATTTTGCAGGTTGTTGGTGCCTACAATAGCGACAATATTGGTGGGCTGTTGAACCAGTCCAGCGCAATGAGCAGCCGTTACAATATGACGAGGGCCGACTAGAGTGAAATGAGTTTAAAAAAAACAACATATGAACGTAAAATACTAAATTGCTTAAGTATTTTGTAAGTTAAGAAAGGGAATGCTAATGTAGAATCTACATCAGACTCAAGTCCACCTAATCTCAACTCGTATACGTAATATTTCCGCCAATATTTAAGGATACTCTGTGAGCTACGAGAAGAAGCAAGGACCAAGGCCGATGCTGATTTTATCGCGGTTCTTTTTGAATGTATTGTGAAATAGCATTTTAGATAAGCAGTTGCTTTACAACTACTTTTGCTACCGATCACAAATGTACCCACCGATAACACCACCACAGAAGCTGGTCACAGTGCTGGTGACATCCTTTAGTGCCACCATGGACGGATACTCATTGATAGCGGCCTGCTGGCCATTGGAAATGCGCGGTGAGACAGACCAGCCACAGTTGCAGGGTTGCGGCTGGACATTCAACGTGCACCTGAATCGACCGGAGTTAGAACCAGTCGAGATGTAGGCAAAGGTCATTTCGGTGAAAAGAGATTCCCTAGTGAAGGAGCCGGAGCCACAAAAATTCTCAGCGGTTCGCATTAATACATCTCCCTCAGAGTCCACCCAAAAATTGTCAGTGGTGCACTGGCCATTGTTCTGCGTGGTGTAAGTAGTGGCGAATAGGAATTACCAATTAAAGTACGAACGGGAATAGAAACCGCTTACCGATGGCAAACTAATGGTGCACTGCATCTGGATATTGTGATTATCAGGGGCCGTGACCTTATAACGGCACGAGGTGCCCGCTGGGTAGTTTTGGGGATAGTAGGGCGACTCAAAAACCGATAAGCCCGGCTGTAGCGTATACGTGTTATCGCAGCCCTCAAAGTAGGCCCGGGCAGCAGGCAATGCCAGCAGACAGCTGGCTAGCATAAGGCAACGGCTGAGCATTGTGAGAAGACCTTTCGATTTCGATGCCAGCACTTAACTGGGTGAAATTTGCGTACCGCTTTCAACTAATACTCGGAATGAGTTAGAGGCAAGCTTATCCAACATTTTGCTTTATTGTGCTGCTATTAAATGCGACAGCAGTTGATAAAACACAGTTGGTGAACACATTGCGCATACGCCACGTTATATTGAATATTTATTTTTTTAATGTTTGTGGATTTTGCACCTGTGCAAATATAACGGAAACATTAGTTTGTTTCACCTCGACCTCTAATTGCAGTTGATTTTGAACTTGGCTATTTACCAGTCGCTGAAGGCTTCGAATTTTACGACTAACTTGTGTTATTATTGCTCCCGACTCAAATGAGCGATAACTGATAAAAGCTCAAAACTTTACATTTACCAAACAATAGCGAGGGTTGTTTGAGTATCACATTAGACAATACTATAATTTGGTAATGAATTTAATAGCAAACTGTTTAGCATTATATATGAAGCGCTCTAAATAATAAATATTTATCAAGTTATCGAACTTCATAGGAAATATAATAACAAATTTTCTGGTATGCAATTAAGAATTAAAATGTTGGCACAAGTGTTTTGAAAAGGTTGCAAAAATGATATTGAATAAAATACTTCTTAATACATATTTATTATGACAATATAAAATCAAAATAGTACATCGTTTGATCATTTTTGTAGCTAATTTAAATAATAAGGAATTTTAATATATGAGAAGATATTACTAATCACTTGAATGCCCCTCAACTGTTTACATTGTGGGTCACGGTTTTTAGTCATGGGCTTACTTTAAATGCTTTTTATGGTTGTTCTTAAGACTTCTGTCATAGCCGTTACACCCACTACATGATAAGCTTCGTGCTAAAAACAAATAAACACTTTGAATAATAACTTCCAACTAAAAAAATAAGCCAACAGTACAAAAAAGCGGGAAGAGTGAGGGAGAGAGAGAGAGAGAGAGATAGAGTCAGTAATAGGGTAGACGGCAACGAACATCTACTTTGTTTGAACAGATTTAAATGGAGACAATGGCCTGCCTTAATTTTTTTTGTTATCAACGAGAAATACGAGAAAGTTAAGTCACATTCTTATATGATAGTATAAATATTTAAGCAATAGCAATACAATACACAAAATGAAAACAAAAGTGTTTTGTGAAACCAGGTAGAAATAGGCTGCAAATAAAATCGCAGGTTGGCAAGAGTCAAAATAACTTTGTCAAATGCTCAGAAATTTGTTTACAACCTTTATTTCAAAATGCTGGACTCAAAAAACGGAAATAGTTAGTCGAATATATATAAGTTTAATGAATTACAAGACAGATCCCTTAAAAATACCTTAAAATATAATTAATATGACGTCCTCTTAATCAACTTGCTTGTTTATGTTTAATTAACTTTTAACATGAGTAAGTTTTGCCCTTAATGGAAAAAACTATGCAAACATAATAAAATATGTTAAAAATACAATAGATACATAAAGCGTCAGCTGTCAGCCGAGTCGGGGCCGAGACAAATTTTCCCAAAAGCTACAACACAAAATTCGAGAAAAATGCAATTGAGAGAAAAAGTGCAACGCATAATAGCAAATATGTGTGGCATGAAAAGAGATAAAGAGAAGTGCACACTAAATTGACTTTATGCAAAGCGCAGATGACAAAAAATCTCACACAAAATAGAGCAAAACCAACGCCTAAAATCAGGCTACATTTGTTGGCCAAGCCAACCCCAAAACCCGTTTCCAACGCTACATTGTGTAATTATAATATAATTTTTTGTGCCAACACTTTTGAAAATGCCTTGTTGCTGTTTTTCGCCGACTTTTTTGTTGTTGTTGTTGTTGTTTTGTATGCTCTTTATTATCGTTATCTCACTCTTATTGTGTCGCTTGTGCTCTGTCTATCTATTGCAGTGTGGTATATAAGGCAGCTAGTATGTCTATATTTTCTAGTGCCATTTTTTGTGCAATTCTCTTTGCGTTTTTTATTCGCATTTGCATTTTCCACTAATTTGACTTTTGTATTGTTGTGGTCAACATACCGCCCAGCATCCAGCTGCCATCTCTCCCATGGAACAGTTAAATTTCCCACTTTCTCCCCTTTCCTTTGCCTACGTCATGTGCAGCAGTGGTTATGTGTTAGAGTTTTTTTCTCGTCCTTTTGCTCTTCACCAATCAGCACAACGCATTCTCCGTTTTCCTGCCCATCTCTCTCTCTCTCTCTCTGAGTATGTGTGTGTTATTTCTGTTTGTATTTGTGTGGGTAGTTGGGCGTTTGGGCTACGCACTTTTTGACTTTAGTGTGTGGCTGGAGTGGCTGGCGGGGAGTGTGGTTGGGTCTGTGGCTGGGGCAATGCGTTTTCCATGCATTGGTTGGCTGTCGAATACGACCAGCAGGGGTTGGGTTTCAGCTGTGTGTGTGTGTGTGTGTGTGTGTGTGTGTGTGTGTGTGTGTGTAAGTGTTTTGGGTGCATTTCGAATGCCTGTCATTTGATGTGGCTGTGACTTTGTGGCCATATCATTAATTGCCGCTAGCAGCAGGACATAAAAAGTAGCACACAAATTAGTGTACAACACCCTGCAATGAAGGATGTGTAAAAAGTGGAAGATTACAAAATAGACTACCAGGGCGACTTTAAAGCCATTGAAACCTGATGCATGATCACAAGTATTAAATTAGTGAGCTATAAGTAAAGCCTGTTCCAATTTATAACATTACGTAAGTATTTTAGAGAAACCAATTGTATGCCATGAAAGAAGCATAGTAAAGATAAATATATTGACTTCGAAGCTTTCTCCATACCAAATCTCTACTACTTGTCAAATTACTAATGTGGTAATATGCCATCCAAGATATATACTTTATGCATAATCATATTTATTATCAGCATTCAACACATTTACATCTTAGTAAAACAATCAGTTGTGTAACGATCAAGAATATTTTCGATTATTTTCAATTTAATCAAGCCAAACTTTGCTAAACATGTGTTTGAGTGATTGCGTCGTAAATCCGTTGGATATTCATTTATGCAACATGCTGAACAGTAATTGCAACAAGCGTTTTGTGGCTCTTCGCTATCTGTGTAAAGTTGCTTTAACGTACAAAATGCTATTCGTTTAACTTTGCGCCTGTCCATTTCACTTACACTTGCAACTCGTTTATCACTTTTCACACACACACGCACACACACACACATGAAGAACACACATTCAATTTGCTAGCGTTTCAATCACAATAAATCCATACAAATTTCCGTTATATATGCTGAGAACCCAAAGAGGAACGACAGTAATAAAAACTTTCAAATGCAAACTAAGCAAATTTTAATTATTGAAAAATTGCAATTAAAAAAAATAAAAAAGAAGCCTTACGCCTGCTATCTCGCTCCAACCGAGCCACCGTCGTTGCTATAGTACAATTTTTCATTACGTAGTGACGCAGAAACTAAAACGAAAAAAAAAACTTGGAAAAAAAGTAGAAAAAATGCAATCAAAATGCTGCCTAGTAAATGCATAAAAAACAAACGCACAAATACAAATACACACACAAAAAAAACAAATCGAAAATAGACATGTATATACAAGCGCATACATAAGTGTGCGATGCGTGTGTGTGTGTGTGTGTGTGTGTGTGTGGCGGGTGGGGCTGCTAACGAAATAGGCGTCATCTAAGCAAGCAGTGCAGCTGCTGCTGCTACGACTTTGACAGAGGCTGCGACAGCGACAGAGACTGCGACTGCTGCTGTTCTGCTGCTGCTGCTGCTGGTGAAGATGCTGGCGGCGCAGCATTGCCCCATTAACATAAACACGCAAAAACATTAACACCGCCGCAGCCGCAGTTGGCAGCCGCAGCCAACCAACAGCCAACGGCGCCAGCGACGACGACGATGAAGACAACAACAACGCAGTTAGAAAACAAGAACAACAACTAACAGCTGCATACGTCATACATAGATAACGCGGCGTATGTGTAATGTGCGAGCGAGAGAGAATGTGGTTGTAGTTGGTACTCGCTCTTCCACGCTCATTACACTCATTTCGCATAGTAGTTGACTGTGTTTGGATGTGTGTGTGTGTGTGTGTGTGTAGTTGTAGTCGGGTGCGCATAGGCAATTTTCCACATTTTCACACACAGACATCAGCCAGCCAGCCAGCAAATGCGAAAAAAGTCGACACGCAGACGCTGGCTGCGCTGCTCGCTGCGCCAGTTGACGGCCGCACCCCCAAACCCAATCACAAAAACGCGTTAATAAGAAAACGTGGCGCAAAAAACTACACACACACAAATACATGCACACAATCACACTCACACATATACTCTACACTGCTCTGCCCTGCAAACAACAACAACGGCTGTCAGCCAATCACAGAATTTGTTTACGAATCGCCGGGCAAAAGCAACACAAAGAAAATTTTAACGGCAGCACCAACGCGTTGGCAAAAAAAAAAAGCAACAAAAAAAAAAAGAAAGAGCGTCGCTCATTTTGTGCAATTTTTCCCACAGCATCAAATGGCCGTCGCATGCACTCGCTCTCGCTCTCGCTCTCGCACTCGCTCTTACACTCTCACATACTCTCGCTCGCTGCAGCTCTCTTGCTTACGACGGCGACGACGCTGGCAGCGCTGTTTGGCACATTTTTTTTTTTTTCGTTGGCTTACATTTTCCACTGTTGCTCATTTGCGCTGCGTAAAAGGTACAAGAAAAACAGACACGTGCGCTGCCAGCAGCGGCGTCAGCGTTCGATGCCAATGTGCTCACTAGAAGAGCACAAATTGTCGCTCTCTTAACGCTATGGCGCTCTTCGCTTTTCGCATGCTGGCGCTTCGTTGAGTTTTCGCCTTAGGGCGCTGCGACGATGACGACGACGGCGACGACGACAACGTCGCTGGTAGCGCTATTATTGTTGTTGTTGTTGTTGCTGTTTAATTTGTGTATGTTGGAGTCGTTTGGTTGGTTGGACAATGGGGAAAAGTGATGGGTTTTCCTTCTCAGTTTTTCATTAATACATTTGATGTTTTAGTTAATACGGTTTACATTTTTTTA